TACCAATAACACCTCACTTTCTAACATCTCACTGTGACTACCATCTCCTGTCTTACCAGCTCACTCCTTTAGTATTCCAATTCCAGTAGTCCTTCAGTCCTACTGAGATTTTGCTGTTTTTCTACCGTTTCTCATTCCCTTCATTTTGTCACTTCCCTTTTACCCAGTTTAAATACCATGGACAATCATTGTTACCATTCCCTTGCTTACACCCTTACTATCCCTGTCCATCTCTTGTAGGGCTCTCTTGGTTAAACCACAACACTAGTTAAATCCAATTCTGCCTACTCTGTGCCTGCACTAGTATAGCTGAATGTGGCTGGAAAAAAAATTCAACCGTGCTGACTCGTCTCACTTTAAGTATTGCCAGGGCAGTCATATTTCCCTGGTCCTTTCACTCTCCCATTCTGATGATTGTTTTATAAAGTTTCTTCTGTCTTCAAACCTCCAACATCTACTCTCCCGTTCTTTGACTCAGAAGAGAACTTCTGCCTTCTCTCTTGTTGCTGAGAATGAATGGCCTCTTACTCATAGCTAGAGCGAGTCCTTCCATGTGTGCTTCAGATCCCTCCTCCTTTATTCAAAAATATTGCTCAACCTATTCTTCCTTCTGTCTCCTGCATCATCATTTTTCCCTCTCTACTAGATCATCTCTGTCAGTAAACAATCATGTAGTTACTTCTCCTGGAAGACGGTATCTATATCAAGATAATATTCTATCTAGAGTAAAAAAAAGAGAAAAAGAAAAAACTCCCCAAGCTCTCTTACGATGTTACTTCCCCTCCCACTGCTACTGCATTTCTCTTCTTTATTTTACAGCAGAATTCGTTTTTTAAAAAGTCCGTGTTCACTGACTCTAGTTCCTCTTTGCTCGTTGTCTCTTCAATGCACTTCACTGAAACTACTGTTTCTAAGGTCACCACTGATTTCCACATTGCTAAACCCAGTGGACATTTCCCATCTTACTAAACTTATAAGCAGTAAATGAATAAATAAATGGGCAAGGTGGAGGTGAGGTGGGAAATTTTGCTGAGCAAACTAAAAATAATAGCTGCCATAGTTTACTGTTGTTGAGGGGAATCTAAATATTAATAGTATGGGATTGGTAAAAAAGATATAGGAGTAGGCAATAGTTTTAGAGATACTTTAGGGGTAACCAGTGCTACCAGTTTCTTATGGATTCTTTTGGAGTATTCTGTAAATATACAAGTATATTTATCAACCCACCTTCATTTTTTTAATCACAGAATAGTTGAAAGATTAGTACATCAATAACTCATATTTTCTCTATCTAGATTTACCAACTGTTAACATCCTACCACACTCACTTTGTTTTTCAATATT